TTCTAAGAGTCTTTTGGTGGAGTCTTTAGGGTTTTCTACGTGCAAGATCCTATCATCAGTAAACAGCAGTATTTTGACCTCCTATTCCCCAACTTTAATGCCTTTTCTTTCTCTTGCCTGATTGCTGTGGCTAGGACTTCTAGTACTGTACTGATAGAAGTGGTGACAGTGGCCATCCATGTCTTATTCCAGGTCTTAGGCAGAATGCTCTCAGATGTTCCCCATTCATTATGATGTTGGTTATGGGTTTGTCATATATGGCTTTTATTATTTGGAGGTATCTTCCTTTTATGCCTACTTTGTTGAGGATTTTTATCATAAGGGGTGCTGGATTTTATCAAATGCTTTTTCTGTGTCTATTGGGGTACTGTGATTTTTGTTTTGTTTATGTAGTAAATCACATTTATTGATTGATGTATGTTGAGTAATTTTATGTGTTTCTGGGATGAACCCTACTTGATCATGGTGAGTTATCTTTTTCATGGGCTGTTGGTTTGGATTTGCTAGTATTTTGTTCAGGGTGTTTGCATTTATGTAGTATAGAGATACTGTTCTGTAGGGTTTTTGTTATTGTTATATCATTTCCTGGCTTCTGTATAAGAGTGAGAATAGCTTTGTAGAATGAATTATGGCGGATGCCCACCTTGATGTTATGGAACAGCTTTGTTAAGATACCTGACAGTTCTTGGTAAGTCTAGTATAATTTGGCTGTGAAGCTATTTGTTGTGAGACTTTTTATTACTGTTTCAATCTTGCTGCTCGTTACTAGTCTGTTCAGGATTTCTTTTTCTTACTGATTCAAGCTTGGGAGGTTGTGTGTTTCCAAAAATTTATCTGTTTCCTCTAGATTTTCTAATTTGTGTGCTTATAGGTTTTTATAGTAGTGATGGATGATATTTAATATTTCTATGGTATCAGTTGTCTCCTTTTTCATTTGTAATTGAGCTTATTTGAGTCCTTTGTCTTCTCTTTCTGATTCTTTCTAGCTAGTAGTCTATCAATTTGTTTATCTTTTTAGAGAACCAAGTTTTTTTTCATTGATGATTTGTCTATTTTGGAGTGGGGGTTCCATTTCATTTGCTTCTGATGTTTGTTATTTCTTCTGCTTAGGTTTGGGTTTGGTTTGTTCTTTTTCTAGCTTCTTGAGGTTTGACATTAGGTTATTAATACGCGATTTTTCTGTCTTTTTGATGTAGGCATATTAGGCTCTAAACTTTCCTCTTAACAGTGTTTTTGCTGTATCCCAGAGATTTTAGTAAATTGTGTCATCTTTGTTATTCCATTCAAAAATTTTTTTGATTTTCGTTTTGATTTTTTTGTCATCGATCCAAGTATTATTTTAGCAGCAAGTTTTATTCTGTGTATTTTTTGTAGTTTTGAGAGTTCCTCTTGGAATTGATTTCTAGTTTTATTCTAGTGTGATGTGAGAAAATACATGGTATGGTTTTGATTTTTCTGAATTTACTGAGACTTGCTTCGTGGCCTAACATCTGATCTGTTTCGGAGAATATCTTATGTGCCAATGAGAAGAATGCATATTCTGTAATTTGGGGGTTGAATGTTCTGTGACTGTCTTTTAGGTCCATTTGTTCTAGAGCAGGGGGCCTCAAACTTTTTAAGCAGGGGACAGTTTACTGTCCATCAGACCGTTGGAGGGCCAGACTGTGGGCCCCAGGACGAGTCGGCTGCTAAGCAGGACAGGCAGCAGCAGCAAAAACACCCGGTAAATGTCGTAGGCGGGCTGCATGTGGCCTGTGGGCCGTAGTTTGAGGATGCCTTTTCTAGAGTTTTGTCAGTAGAATGATAAAATTTCCAGCTATTGTGATATTGCTATTTATTTTGGATCTAGTAAAATTTGTTTATGTCTGAAAGCTGCTGTGTTAGATGTATGTATATTTACAATTATTATATCTTGTTGAATTGCTCCCTTTATCATTGTATAACAACGATTTTCATCTTTTTTTACCATTGTTGATTTAAAGTATATGTTTTTTTATATAAGAATAGCAACTCTTGCTCACTTTTGTTTTCCACTTGTGTATTTTTTTCACACCTTTACCTTGCATCTTTGAGGATTTTTTAAATTTTATTTCTTGAATTCAGCATATATTTGAGTTGTGTTTCTTTAATCCATTCAGCAAGTAAGGCATTAAGACCATTGATATTCAGTGTTAGTATTGATATAGAAGGTGTTGTTCTGTTCATTATGTTGATTGTTACTTGATTTCTCCCTTGTGCTACTGTTTTATAAGAGTTGTGAGCTTTAACTTGTAGGAGTTTTTACATTGATGGGTATGGATTGTTCTTTTTATTGTATAGAGCACTTGTAAGCATTTCTTATGGGGCAGGTCTAGTCTTGACAAATTCCCTTAGCGTTTGCGTGTCTGGGAAAGACTTTATTTCTCCTTAATTTATGAAACTTAGTTTTGCAGGATACAGAATTCTTACTTGGTGGTTACTCTGTTCAGGAGACTAAAAATGGACCCCCAACTCTCCCGTGGCTCGTAAGGTTTCTGCTGAGAAGTCTTCTGTTATCTGATGAGTTTTCTTTCATAGGTTACTTGTTGCTTATGAGTTACTTGCAGCCGTATGATTTTCTCCTTCATTTTGACTTTGGCCAGACTGATGATGACGTATCTTGGGAATGTCCTGTTTGCCATGAGTCTTCTAGGTGTTCAACGACCTTGTATCTTCTCTAATGATATCAGAGAAGTTTTCCTCAATTATTTCCTCAAATAGGTTTTTGCTTTTTCTTTTCAGTGATACCTACGATTCTTAGCTTTGTTCACTTTTCATAGTTCCACAGTTCTTGGAGAGGTTATTCCATTCTTTATTCTTTGTTGTACATTTTCTACTTAGTGGGTGATTTTGAAAGCCGTCTTCAAGCTCTCAAATTATTTCTTCTGTTTGGTCTGTTGAACTTTCTTTATATTTTTAAATCCCCTAAATGGTTCTTTCATTTCTAGAAGTTCTATTTTTTCCTATATTATCTCTGCATCGAATTTTTTATTCATGTCTGAATTTTTTTGTTTCTTTGTGTTGGTTTTCAACTTCCTCATCAATTCCATTGACCTTACTTGCCATTATATTCTAAATTTGATATATGACATTTCATCAGTTTCCTTTTGGTTGGAGTCCATTGCTGGAAAACTGTTGTGATCTTCTGGGGGTATCAGAACAACTTATTTTATTTTATGTTGCTAGAGTTCTTATTCTGATTCCTTCTTAATCTGAACCCTATTCTCTGAGCTTAAGATAGGTAGGGTTTGGTTTTTTTTTGGCCGGGGCTGGATTTGAATCCACCACCTCTGATATATGGGGCCAGCGTCCTACTCCTTTGAGCCACAGGCACCGCCCAAGATAGATGGGTTTTGAAATATGCCTGTTCTTCTCTGCAGGGAACTCTTTTTCTCAGAAAAGAGAGGGAGAGGTCCCTTAATGACTCATTTGAGTCCTATACTGAGAGATTGACCAGGCAGAAGAGGGGCAGATGTTCTGTGAGCCTTTAACACTGCTACTCTCCTACATCTCCATATTCCTCTTTAGTTGTTATGGGCATTCAGTGCATAGCTTGCTTGTTGCAGGTGTGTGTTGGATAGTGGGTATGTGTAGTGAACACATTGCACTTGAATTTAGAGCTTGGGGAAAGATCAGAGTAGTTGAAAGTTGGGAACAATTAGCGTGTACTTGGTATTTTAGCCATTGAGTTAATGTAAGCAAACAGAGACAGTATAGTGTAAAAAATGAGGAAAAAACTGGCTGAAGCCTACGTCCTGCAGAAAGTTAGTGAGGAACAAAGCCTGTCTGGAAGACTGATGAGAGCAATGGAAAGAGGTAGCTTGGAAGCCAGTGACTATAAGTGTTGTAAGTTGGAGGAAGGGACACCTGTATAAAGTGCTGCTGAGCTGCTAAGAGATTCAATAAGGTAAGGACTGAAGAATGATTCTAGATTGAGTAATAGGTGAGCTATTTTGGAGGGTGTGGGCTAAATTGAGGTGTGATTGGGAGATAACAGGAAGGCTCAGCAAACAAGCACATTTTAAGGAAGTTTGGCTGTAAAAGAAAGAAGACAAGCGGATGTGGCCAAGACATTAATTTTAGGTGAGATGGGAGAATTGAAATATTGATAGTCAACATAAGAGGACCCAGGGCAGTGAGATCTTGATCCTGCCTTTGTAATAGGAGGTGAGGAGAAATGTGTGCATGCACTTTTTGAGCAAGAGATTGATGTTTCCTTCTGCTGTCTTGTTTTCCCTGTAAAGACAAGGCTATATACAGAGAGTGGTGTATGTGGTGTGTTCAAAACTAGTAGATTGGGACGCTGGAAAACGCAGAAAACCATAAAAATACAAAAAGAGTTCTGGACTGTAGAACCCAGTGGGACCATGAATTCATCATGGTGCCATTTTTTTTTTTTTTCTAAAGACAGAGTCTCACTTTGTCGCCCTTGGTAGAGAGCCGTGGTGTTACAGCAACATCCTGGGCTTAGGCGTTTCTCTTGCCTCAGCCTCCCAAGTAGCTGGACTATAGGCACCTGCCACAGTGCCTGGCTATTTTTTTGTTGCAGTTTGGCTGGGGCCAGGTTCAAACCCGCCACCCTCGGTATATGGGGCCGGCACCCTATTCACTGAGCCTCAAGCGCCTCCCCATGGTGCCACTTTTCTTGGTGTATGATTTTTCTCTCCTGGTGTTTAACTGTTTAGCACTGGGGTAAGAAACATCATCAGTGCGTTAATCCAGGCTTGGGATCTTTTAGCCCAAGGTGATAGAAGGGCAGCAAGATGAGGGAATAGAGGGTATAGGTAAAATAGTGGAGAGAAATGGAACATGGAATTTAAGTGTGTAGGTGATGAATTTTGTACACTGCTGATCCACATATTCTCTTGAGTCATCAATATGAGATCTTGCCATAGTGTTATATCATTTTATAACAAGATAATAATTTTCAAAATTTATAAATGTACTTTGTAAAAACATTTAAATCTGACATTCTCATATAGTGTGAAACTGCAGCACAACAAGAATTTGCCGAAGAACTTCAAAAGCGAGAACGGTTTTTACTTGAAAGAGAACAGCTGCTTTTCAGACATGAAAATGCCTTGAGCAAAATTAAAGGTGTTGAAGAGGAGGTTCTTACAAGATTTCAGATTATAAAGGAGGTAACTATGTATCCTTTGTTTTAGAGTAATATTATTTCTCCTTTTTCTCTTAGATGCACTAGTTATTAAAATTTTTGCCACATTTCCTTAGTTGTTCTTCCCTTCCTCTTCCCCCTACACACATTTTCTCCTAAACCATTTGAAAGACTTACAAAAGTCATGACTCTGCATCCTTAAATACATCAGTATGTGTCTCCTAAGAATAAGGACTTTCTTCATGCCATTGTCAGTTCTAGAAATTAGTGCTAATTAAATAATATAACTTAATATGCATTCCATGTTTCCTATCCCAGTAGGTCCCCAAAATGTCTTAATGTTTTTTTGTTATATTTTCTGCTCAAGAAAGTAGACAAGAGTCATGCATTGTATTTGGTGCTTTTTGGTTTCTTTGATGCATTCAGCCTCACTGGTTTTTGGTTTTTGTGAGGCTTTTCTTTGAAGAGTCCAAGCCAGCAGTCTTGTATGTCACATTCTGAATATTGGCCTGTTTCATGTTTAGATGGCCTGTGATTACATTTAGATATAATATTTATTTATTTAATTTTTTTTTGTCCTGAGACAGGGTCTCAATTGGTCACCCTCGGTAGAGTATGATGGCATCATAGCTTGCATCAACCTCAGACTCTTGGACTCAAGCGATTCTCTTGCCTCAGCCTCCCCAGTAGTTGGGACTACAGGCGCCTGCTGCAACTGCCAGCTTTTTTTCTTTTGTAGAGGCGGGGGTCTCAACTCTGGCTTAGGCTGGTCTTGAAGTTGAGAGCTCAGGGGATCTACCTACCTTGACCTCCCAAAGTGCTGGGATTACAGGGATGAGCTACCATGCCCGGCCCTAGATACACTATTTAGATGAAATATTTTTGGCAAGAATGTTATATAGGTGGTACAATGTACTTCTTTGTTTGCTGTCAGTAGAGTGATTACTTTGTGTGTAACTTACCTAGAGTAAAATTCATTGTGTCTGTTGTATGTTTCCATGGGTTTTGAAAAATTCATAGTCTTGCAGTCACCACCTTAGTCAAGATAAAGAATAATACCAGCATACCAAAAGTTTCCTTATGCTCTTACAGTTAATATCTTTATCCCATTCTTTGCCCTTAGCAGCCGCTGATCTATTTTCTGTCCCTATAGTTCTCCCTTTTCCAGAATGTCATGTAAATAGCATTCTTTATATATATATATATTTTTTTTTTTTTTTTTTTACTTTTTTTTTTTTTTTGAGACAGAGCCTTAAGCTGTCCCCCTGGGTAGAGTGCTGTGGCATCAAAGCTCACAGCAACCTCCAACTCCTGGGCTCAAGCAAGTCTCCTGCCTCAGCCTCCCAAGTAGCTGGGACTACAGGTGCCCGCCACAACGCCCGGCTATTTTTCAGTTGCAGCCATCATTGTTGTTTGGCAGGCCCAGGCTGGATTCGAACTCGCCACCTTAGGTGTATGTGACTAGCACCTTAGCCACTTGAGCCACAGACACCCAGCCGTAAATAGCATTCTTTTATGATTTTTCTTTATTTTTTTAGTTGCCAGTTATGATGTATCTCAGTGTGATTTTCTTTGAGTTTTTCCTGTTTATGGCTTTCTGAACTTCTTAAATTTATGTCTTTTGCCAAATTTGGGGCATTTTCAACCAATATTTCTTCAAATATTTTGTCTGTTTCATTTTCTTTCTCCTTTCCTTGGGATCTATACTGACTCAAATACTAGTTCTTTGCTATTATCCCACAGATTTCTGAACCTCTATTCCTTTTTTCTCAAATTTTTCTTCAATGCTTTTCAGATTGAATAATTTCTGTTGATATGTTTTTATTTATTTATTTATTTATTTTTTGAGATATTTATTTATTGTTTGAGACAGAGCCTTAAGCTCTTGCCCTGGGTAGAGTGCTGTGGTGTCATAGCTCATAGCAACCTCCAACTCCTGGGCTTAAGCGATTCTTTTGCCTCAGCCTCCCTAGTAGCTGGGACTACAGGCGCCCACCACAATGCCTGACTATTTTTTGGTTGTAGTTGTCATTGTTTGGCAGGCCCGGGCTGGATTCAAACCTGCTAGCTCTGGTGTATGTATGTGGCTGGTACCTTAGTAGCTTGAGCTACCGGCACCACCCTATTGATCTGTTTTTAAAGTTCACTGTTTCTTTTTTCATCTATGAGCTCATTAGTGAATTTTTCATTTCTGATATTTTAAAATTCTAAAATTCCAGTTATGTTCTCTTTTAAAAATTGTTTTCGTAATAATTTCTGTGCATTGAAGTTTAAATTTTATTTAAGACCTTTTGGATATTATGTTATATAGATTCTGGGTCCTGTTATAGTTCTCTGAAGAATGTTATTTTTAAAGCATTCAGCTCAAGAGCGAGACATCATCTCTAAAACACAGCCAAGTGTTTTGGCAGGTGCCTATAGTCCCAGCTACTTGGGAGGCTGAGGCAAAAGAATCGCTTAAGCCTAAGAGTTTGAGGTTGCTGTGAGTAGTGATATCACAGCACTCTACTGAGGGTAACAAAGTGAGACTCTGTCCCCCCCTCCCAAAAAAAAAAAAAAAAAAAGAATTCAGCTCAATTAGGTTTAGACCCACAGTTTTTTCTCATCTGATATATGCAGGGATTTGACCTCAGTTTGGCTCTCAAGGCCTTTGCAGTGTTGCCGGAGGGATGTTGTGCCTGTGCCACTTAAAAGTTAGTCTAGCCTTGCAACAGTTTAACTAAAATCTAGTTCAGTTCTCAAAGCTTTTGCTCTTGTGCTCTTGGTCTTTTCCATACGTGCAGAGACTCACGGGAGGCAGACAGGTTAGGCTGAGTCCCTAGGTAGTATATTTAAACTGAGCACCATTCTCCAAGCCTTTGCTTTGCTTCTTTGGGTCTGTCCTGTGCCCAGGTGTTATAGGGTGAGCTTGGTTTGTACAGGTTCATGCACACCAGGGCAAGAGGATCCTTTCTTTGAGTCTCTCTTCTGCAGATTCTCCCACACCTGGACTTGTAGGGGCTCCTCTTACTGGTTCCCTGCCACAAAGCCTGGCTTTCTCTCAGAACTTCAGTGGAAGTTGTTCTTGTACTAACCTGTGATTGGGGAAAATGTTCAGAGAAAAGGAAAAATCAAACTGTGGGAAACTTTACCCCTTGGGAGTTGCTTCTTCAAATTTTCAATCTTTTCTATAATTTCTTGTTCTTGTTTACTTTTCAGTCCTGGGGTAGTTATTTGTGTTTTGTGTAGGATTTTTAGTTGTAATCATTTGGAGAAGTAGAGTGTACAGGCTTAGACCTGATGTGCTGGAAATGGAACTCATATGTTTGAGTTATTTTATATATATATATGTGTGTATATATATATATATATATATATATAGATGTGTATATATATATATATATACACACAAT